AATGGGCTCTGGAAATTTTCATCCCACATAAAGAACAGACAATAGGAGCTGTCCTTAAGCTCCATCACTCATGGGGAAATCAGGAACCACACAAAGAGAGGCCCTGAACCCCTAAAAGGATCTACACAATGCAGAAAAGGAGGATGAGATAGCAGAGTTGCTTTAATCACTATTTTAGCAATGGAACTATTTTCTTCTAGTGAAATATTATGTTGAATGCAAATATAGAATAGAGATAAAAGCAAAAAAGCGATTACTTGAGCAATTTAAACCTTGATTGATTGATTCCCAAGTACTCCATTATTTGTGGAAACCCTGAAGTTCCCCCAGAAGCCTCTGGATTTGGGAGAATACAGTAGGTAAACCACTGACCAGGGACACCCTCCTGAGCACATGTCTATTCCGTGCACATGATACCACATTTCAGGGCAGTCTGGAACCTGGTAACAACTACAACAGTGCCCATGTGGAGCAATTTTAAAAAGCATGAAATATGAATGCACATACTTGGGACTTTTAAAAGTAAAATAAGCCATCCTTAAACTTATTTCTTCAGACTACTTTATTCTTATTTATTCCTACCAAAGTCTCATGCTCATAATAATTGCACTAGTGTTTTCCTCAGTCATCCTCCCACATACTAGCTTTTCTCAGAAACTTCCATTTATATTTAATGCCTGTATCTTGTAAATTTCTTAAAAAGGACAAAGACAGAACTCCATTCAAGGCCATAAAGCTGCTTTTTCTCCTAAGGAACTGTCAGGCAAATTTCTCAGGGAGGAACTAGAAATGAAGTGAGAGACATTGATAAATTTCCCTGCTGAACAATCAATAAAAGCCTCGCCATCCTGTTCAGACTCCCACTGTGGAAGCAAGGGCCATAATTACATTGTCAAAAATTCAAGTTGCCCAGGCTGACAGCGACCCCCTTGAAAAGTGACATGTGATTGGCACTCGATTTGGGGTGGTGAACCTGGATTGGCAGACAGAGTGGGGGAAAACAAAAGGCAAGAGTGAAATTTCCTTATTGACTACAACTACCCAAACCCCAGACTGCCCCTCTGGAGGGGTCCTATGACCCTTTAGTCATATTAAGTATCCAAGTGAGTAGCTGACAGAACTCACTGAGCCATCCGAACTCCGCAAGAGACTCAGAACATGACTTGCCTCAATCCACACCCAAACCCAGAGAAAGACAGCACTGTATGTGGGTATGTGCTCACATGTGTGTGTGTACACGCACACACATGCATTTTTCTACATTAAAAGAAAAACATGAAATGTGCTTTCAACTCCATCTTTTCTTGTGACAGCTGAACAGCAAAGCCTGCTTGCAAAGAGGTTTTAATCTATGATAAAAATCAGCCTGAGCAGAAGGGTTACAAGAGGCAGCAATGAAGAATGAGATGGGAGGGAGAAGGTGGGGAAAGCTGTGTTACCGATCCACAAACCCATTTGTGTGAATCTCTATGACCTGAGTTGGAGTTAAATTGGTATCCATCAGTCAGTACTCTTACTGTTGCATGTAAGGAATAAAATGCCTGTGAAAAGCTTCATTTCACTGAAGGCTCAGCAGTGCTCTGATTCTGGCCAAACTGGAGAGCATGAAAATGATTTCCAAGAAGGCTTTATTATAGCCATGCCCAGAAAGAGTGGTTATTCACTGCTGGAAAGCAGCTGTACCATGAGAGATTAAAATCGGAAGGTGTTCACTAGGCTGTGGGAACAGAACAGAAGATGTCTGGGAATGTGGCTACCTTGTGATCTCCAAAGCTAAAATCTCTCTCTTGCTTTGAAAGGAGACAGACAGAAATTGACGAGGAGAGAAATCTCTAGGTAGAACTGGCCGGATGCCAAATTTTGAAACAGAGACCCCTCCCTGCTGAAAGAAAATGAGGTCATTGGAACTGGGTACTCAGTGCTTTGGAAGGAAAAAATAATAATAATAAAATTAAAATAGCACTAACTAACACTGCTTGAGCATTATTTTCGAGCAGATCACAAACAATAAGTCTATGAGGTGAAGATTGTGTTTTCCTAGTTTTGTAGAAATTAATTTGCCCAAGATCATAGATGATAAGCAGCACACCTGCACTGATTTGTGATTCCAAAACTATTAACCACTAAAAGCAGCACTTCTCCAAGTGCAGTCAGTGGGCTACTTGAACCAAATCATCTGAGGGTGCCATTGAAATGCACATTCCTGGGTCCACCTCCGGCTCACCAAGTCAGTCTCTGGAGGTGAGACCCCAGAAATCTGCACTGTAAAAATCTCCTTGCGAAGAGTCTTCTATGACCTAAAGTTGGTGAATCTCCTCACTACATGCAGGAAGGGGAGTGAATGCTGGGTCATTAGGGCCCTTCTGGGTGCAAAGCAGTGAATCAAGTTGCTCACTGTTTTGCATACTTGACAGCAAAAGAAAATTAATTTTTCCCTAAAGACCTAGTGTCACCAGACCCACCTCTGGCCTGGGAAAAGGCCAGCAAAATTACGTAACGATTTTAACCATGATGTACCGCCGTGCCGGAGGAGAAATCTATTTGAGGCTTCAGGTGGTGAGGGAGGGAGGCAAAGGGACAGGATTGATGAGCCCCCTGGCTGTGACTGGATGCTCTGACAGAAACTGTGGGAATGGAGTCCCTCTCACCAGTGGTAAGCTCTTTTCCACATCCCATTTCTTTCAAATGAGTGAGATGCAGCAGCACCACGTGAGAGAGGAAAACGGTTTGATTGCACTTGTGTTCAGTGTGCAAGCTTTGTGGTTCCGAAGAGATCCCCCTCTCATAACTTATATTGGTAGGGCTTTGGGGAAAACAGTTGTTGATGACAACCTAACCCTGAGAATACAGGGAAGGGGAGGGAAGGGGAGGGAAGAGGAGGGGAGGGAAGGGAAGGAGGAGGGAGTAAGGGCTTAGGAAAGGTGGGAGAGCAGGAAAGACGACTGAAAGAAGGAAACAGAGAAAGAAGAGGTATCTACACTCTTGATATCTAAAGTAGCAACATTTTTTCAACTTTCAGAATTCTCAAAACATATTAAAAGCATGCATGCACTTTGCTTTAATTGTCCCCTATTGATTATAAGCAATGACACTCAGAATTTTCTTAACTTGTCATTTAAACACAAAGGCTAAGGAACATGGGGTACATTTAAAATACAAGTGCAAAAGGTATATTTATGAATTCTTTCACTGATCCTGCCTAATAGCATGTGAAAGTGAGAAGGATTGGCATGAAAAAAGAAGAGTTAAAGAATAAGGAGAGTTTTTACTCTTCTTCATTTGAATTTCCATTTCTAGCAAGACTTTTGTCATCTGTATCTTAGAGGACAGTGGCTCTCACACCAGAGGATCCCTATTAAGACTCAGGGACTTGAGGTGGTCTACGGGCTGATGGAAACATTAATCTGCATCTTCTTCTTCTCCAGCTGTGTTTTTTCAGGGGCAAACAGCAAAACATTGGATGGGCAGCTAAGGAGCTGTTTGACTAAAGCAAACATTAAAGATTATGGCTGATATGTGAATGAATAAAAGACCCTCATGGATCCTGGGCTACATGATTAATCTAAGTGCCTACTGATAAAGATAAGAAAAACAGTCCTCCTTAGAAGTACAATATAAAAATATTGTAGGCATCTTGAATTTCTATCCACATAGCTATGGGTTTTTCAAAGCTGATAAAATTTATCCCCAGTGCCTAGCACTCTGGCTGGTCCCTAGTCAACACTTAATAGATACTTAACAAAAAGATTTTACTTCTTCTCAAAGGAAGTCAAAAGAGGCAAAGAGTGTTTTTAGTAGACACTGATTGAGGTTCACTGTTTGTATTATAATAGACAAAGCCCCAACAGGAGAGAATGGCAGACTCCTCAGCATAGTTAAATGCCCATGTCTAGAATTATTATTTTATGACAGGTAGTGGGGTTTTATTTGGTTGTGCCAGTATAAAAATGCCAGTGTAGACAAGACCTGTTTCCTGGAGATTGGCTACTATCTGGAGACCATATTTTTATCTGCCTTTGGCTCATGCTATATAACCCAAAGTATATAAGCATCCACTGAAAGGTACTCAAAGCTCATCATTTTGTATTTACATTGTTGGGCTGATATTAAGAATTTTCCTACACAGTTAGTAATTTCCTGAATCTCCAGGAAATAAAAATGTTCATCTTTCAAAGTAGGATTAGATGATCAGAAGGCAAAAAAAAAACCATAGAAACAGAAACACACTGTAGCCCAATCCTCATTTTCTCCCAGAAGTTTGTAATTCCCAGCCCATCTGAACCAGAAATCTAAGAGGAACTCAACCTGAACCCTGTTCTCAGGAGGGGAATGCAGCCACAATAACAAAATAAAGTCGTCTCTATTTGGTTTTGATGCCACCATTGTGGACAGTCATCAGCATACACTAAGTAATTGTATCAGTTGGCTTTCACTACATTATGCTACAATTACAAACACAAATCTCAGTGGCTTTATTGCTCACTGACACACATGAGAGCAGAGGTCAGCTGCCACTGTGCCCTGGTTGTCATTATTCAGGGTCCCAAGCCAAGGGAGCTGCCCTGTCGGGGACAGGCTATTCTCAAACAGAGAGAAAAGGGAAAAATGGCCAGAGCATTGTAACAGCTTTTAAAACTTCTACTAAGCCCTTGTAGGACATCATTTCCACTTACATTTGATTGACCAAAGCCAGCCCATAGCTACACCCACTCTCAGCAGGACAAGGAAGTGTGCTCCACACTGGGAAGGCACTACAAGCCACTGACAGTGGGAAGATGTGTGTAACCCTCTTACAGGAAGGGGAGCAGATAATTAAGAACTATAGTGGACTCTGCCATAGGAATCATAACAATTAGTATTTCTTATTTAAGGAAATAATGCCCACACTCTAATTGTGTCTCCCCAGCAACAAATAGCCAAAAATTATAAGCAGTTTGATTGTTTTCCCCAAGGCCTACACATTGGCTAGACATAGTTCTCTGGTCAGTTGCCCCACTCACCATGCAGAGAAAGAGTTCCATTTCTCACAGCCAGGAACTTGACACCATATGGGAAAAAGGGGGTAGAGTGGGAACTCCCATACAGTGTGATCTCAGCTTTGCCTTGGAAGGGGTTGTCCTCGGATCCAATCTGCAGCTCTCCACCATCAGAAACAAGGATGGAGTGCGCCCTGAGCTCAATGGTTCCTGCATCCATGAAAACCAGCTTGCCTCCTAAAGGCCAAAAAGAAGGTTGTCAGTCCTTTGGACATTTCCAATGTGTAATGACATCCTCTTTGTTTGTATACTTTTGCTGGAATTCAGGCTTATTTTTTTTTTTAATCTTGCCATCTCTTATACAAGCACAACAGAACATGTGAAACACCCAGACAAAGAAGTACTATATTACCAACCCAGCTTAGGTTTTACATATATTATTTTTAATGACAATGACCTAAATGTCCAGCAATGTAGGACTGGTAAAATAAGTCATGAGAAAGTCACCATTTTTACCATATAGCAGCAGATAAAAGTATTATATAGAAATTATGTTTAAAAGAACTGGGAAACAAGTGAACAAGAATAAAATTAGAAGAAAATGTGCCAAAATTATAATTACCAGAATTGTAAAAGGAAGTGTAACTTGGGGTGCCATCAGGTCATGTGTGGTACTTTGGCTGACCAACCACCATTGTAATTCTCATAATGAACTAATTTCCTGAAGGAATTGCCCTGCTCCATTCAAAAGGGTTGAGTGGGGCTGTCAGTCACAGCATCCTATCCTACCACAGCCTGACTTCAAAAGGAAATTAGGAGCAGAAGGGAAGAAAAAACTGGAATTGTTTAGTTTGCAGTAATTCTAGCTGTGGTGCTTTAATGAACCCGAGAAGAGTTCCTATTCCTAATCCCCTGCCTGCCATCCCCTCCAAAATGCCCCGAGTGCTATTGCTTCCACACCTGATTTTCCAAATTGTCCATCAATTCTGTAAGCTACTCCATACCTTCTCAATAAATTTCCTTTATCTATCCGCCTGTTTATTTATTTTGTTCTTGATTCTCTTCTCCATTCCCATCCCACTCCCTCCCCTCTTCCCTCTGGCAACCATCAGTTTGTGTGGGTTTCTTTTTTTTATCTATGAGTTTGCTTCTATTTTATTTTGATTGTTTGTTTTGCTTTTTAGATTCCACATGTAAGTAAAATCATGTGATATTTATCCTTTTTTAAAAAAGAAAGTTGGTTTCTGTTATTTGCATTCAAATAACTTTAACTGATACAGATACTATTTTGTTCCAATATCTAAATTTTCTGTGACATAGGAATATTATTTTACAGTAAAATCATTTTATATTTTGAGAATAAGTACTCAAGATATTAAAACACACTGTTGTTATTTTAATACTTTTCTTTAAAAAGACATAATATTTTTATTTTAAGGAGAATCTCAATATTGCCAAAATAATTAAAGTATCCCTCATAAATAAACACTTTAACCTGAATGAGCTATTTAATCTATTTCCCTCCTATAAACCATTTGCAAAAAACACTGGACTAGACTCTTATCCTCTAACAAAGTGGTCAGAGTTGTGACTTTATATTGGAAACCCAGGCTCCTCTCTTCTCAGCCCCACAGTAACTTCCTGTCTCACTCAGAATAAGTCCGAGTGCTTACACTGGGCCACAAAAGCCCCTACAATATCATCTCCTACAGCTCCTTTTTTCATTCATCTGCCCCAGACACACTGGCCCGCTTGTTAGTTCTCAATCAGGGCAGGTCCTATGCACATGTTTTTCTTGCACCTGGAATGTTCTTCTGAAAATGTGCATGTGCCTCACTCCCCCTTGGTTCTATTCAAATGTTAACTTCTCACTAAGGCCTTCCTCTCCACTCTGTGTCAGATAGCATGTCCTGGCCTCTGACCAAATATATTTTTCTTCATAACACTTAACATCGGGCATGTATATTTACATGTTTAAAGCCTGCCCTCCCTCCATTAGAATGATGCTTCATGAAAGCACTTACTTGCTTTGTTCATGTCTATATTCTTAGTGTCTGGAACAGTGACCATTAGGTAATTAACATTTAATATATAATTATTGACTTAATAAATGGTTATATCTTTTTTAGAAAATCTGGTTTAAGTACCCAAATTGATTCCTTTATGGACAAACACACACTGAGACACACATATTCACTCTCATTTTCTCAGAAAGGATGTTATTACATTTACATAATATATAAGTCCATATACTGTCTTAATGAGCTATAGATAGGTGAAGGACATGTGTGCTGGGTATCAGAAATGGTTCAAAAGGTAGGTTCTACTATAACAAGGAGGGTCCTGGTGAGGGACAGTGAAGGACACTCTCCATCTGTTCTCTTTAGCCCTATATCCAGCATGTCAAATAATCGAGTTAGACTGTTATTTCCCAGACATGTACTGGAGGAATGAGAGGGAGAAAAAGTAAGACCAACATGCCTTCAGTCATTTATCCCCTAATGTTTACCCCCATCATTGCAGAGATAGTGATCCACAGACATTTCACCAAAAGTCAAATGTAGAGGTCCCTTCTTCCCCAGTTTCTGTCTAATATTTCTCTTCAGCTTTCCTCAGCCTTCTTTGCCAGCACTGCTAGTCTTCAACGCTAAAGCCCATGCCACACTCCATCACTAAGAGTTGCGGATGTTAACTTGGACTCAATCTCTTAAAGTGCTTTCCTTCCAGCCATAATTTAGAACAAGACACCCCACATAGCTATCCAGCTTCTCTGCTGGTAAAATGTGCATAGTTAGAGCTCTTCCGTCAGAGAACTATGCTGAGATTTCTTGAAATTATGCATGAAGGTCCCGAGTCTTGGCTCTGATTCTATTAGATAATGCAGTGGTGTCTACTGCTATCATCACACGCATCTTTTTTCCCCATTATTGCTATTACTACTCTATTTCCACTGTTGCTCCATCATGCTAAAACTACTAGACTGCATCCTTCCATCTCCCTGCTGGTAATCCTGACTTTGCTTTTAAAATATGGCACATACAGCCTACCCTAAGGTAAACTATCCAAGAAGCAAGAAACTATCCTTTGGTGACCTACAAGCTTAATGCTAGAATGATACCACCCTGCTTCCCAGACTTGGGAATTTTGACTTTAATTTTCCTTCCCATTGTCATTATGATGACAAGAATAATCATTAGAAATGCAATAATAATAATGAATCCTGCTGTGAACAAGAGGGAAAAAATGTGACCTGTGCTATAGGTCATATTCTTATGTTTACTAAAATTTTTCCACTCACAGCCACATTTCATTAATGTCCCAACTAATTATCTTCAACTGGTAGACCAAGGATTTGCATGGCAGGACTCCTCCATTAGAAACTGTCAGGAACTCGGAACTGAACTTGATGAGCAAGTGGTGGAGGCAGGGGATGGAATCAAGGTTCCTGTCCTGACTCTGCTGTTGTCCTCGGAATGACCCTCAGTGGACCCCATAACATTGCTGTACCTCACATTACTCAGTTCCCAAGTCTGTCCTACTCAGTGCCTGAGGATGGACCCTTGTTGATGAAGTGCGGAGTAGAATCACACATTCACTGAGGCTCCTGCCAGCTCTGGGACATCTGACATGTGCATTTTTAAGAATGCAGTCAGGTGTGATTTGATGCTGATAGAGATGTGGTGCTCACATTCTCCTGACATCACCTATGCTGTAGTGAGCTTTGAATTTTGATTTAAAGAGATACTACAAGCACAGGCAAGAATTCAAATAAGACCACAGGGAAAACGAAGGAGCTAACATTTATTAAGCACCTATCATGTGCTAAAATCTTTACATATGTTGTCTAAAATGACCTTCAAAACAACAGTATGAGGTCAACGTCACCCTCTGCATTTCATAAAGCAGAGAGCACTGCAAAAGGGGGCTCTAACTCCTCTTCAATCCACAACAGGCTAAATAGGTCTATCCATCTATTCATCATCTGTTCCTAAAATATTTTCACATTTCATAATGCGGAAGAGGAAGCTTTAGAACCCAGGACCACCTGACAAAAAAACTCGTATCCTATCTATGCCACAAACCCTCCCACATAGTTTGTTCTTTAATTAGGTTTGTTATCTAGTTACACTTAAGGAAAAACATGTGTTAACCTAAGTAAATGTGCCTATGGCCTGTTTATATATGATTTATTTTAACTCTGTTAATATAGATATACCTTGCCTCATTCCAAAAAGGATTTGAGACAGATTACAAGGATTAGTGGGTAAATATATAAACCTGGGCTTTATCCCTTGTACCATCAAGCCAAGTATTAAACACACTGAAACAAATTGATAGAAAGTTTAAAATGTCACAGGAATTAAGAATGACACTAATGAAGGGAGAAAAGCTCAGCCCAAAGAAAATGAATGATTTGTGTTGGCAACAGTGCTATAAACAGGGCTAATTAATGGATATGATAATTATTCTGTGCTAAAAACCAGTCCCTCCTCATTTTATCAGTGGCAAGTATAAAGAAATTCAGGTACATTAAAAAGAGAGTTTGATAAGGAATTCAGCTATTTTTGATTAAAATAATTATAAGTGATACCCAAAGTGAAAGCTTCTTGCTGTGAAAGTGTAAAGTTTATATTTAATGTAGCTCTGTGCCAGGGCTCCAAGTGCTGCATCCTCACACGTCATTAGCTTAAAACAAACACACAGTGGGCCGCTTTAAAGGGTAGTTACTGGAGGCCAGGAGGGCAGTGGGAGGACTTTATTTCTCCACTTAACAGAGTCAGACCCCCTTTCTGGAGCTGAAATAAAGAGCGGGGCTGAAGTCGGCCTTTGGCTGTGACCCTTAAATTGCTTGCTATGATTGTTCATGAAAGCTGAGTTATGTCCCACAAGTGACCTTGGGTAATTTTATAAAAATCAATCAACCATCATTATTGTTACTTCCCCTCTAAAACAAATAAATGAATACAACTTTTTACATGTAATCACTTCTTTCCATTAAAGATCCCTTTTGTTCCTTTTAAAGGGAAGTAAAGGAGACTTTCAGCAGCTAGCTGATGTTTGCAACGTACATCAAAACTTGCTTGTGACTAACCCTACAATTAGCCGTCTTCTGTAATAAGCACAAAAAAACTTGCTGTGTTTTTTTAAGAACAACAAATGCACAGTTTTAGGTATTTTTATCCCTTACAGAAAAATGTCAAGTATAAGTATTTTACCATACAATAAGACGCTTCAAA